AAAAAGAGGATAATTTAATACCATCTGGCCTGCTATGGGAACTCAGGAATAACTCTGTATTCAACAGACTCTGCACAAGTTTTTTAGGCTGGCTACGTGCAAACACCAAAACCCAAACTAAAACAATTCACCAAGAATGCTGCTCCTTTCTAGAGAAATTAAAATACTGGGAATCAGATTCTGAACTGTTCTTAGTTGGTTTGAGTGCTTTCAGTGGGTTGTTTAAATGTCAGCTGACAGTCACACCCAAAACATGTATGAACTCCAAACCACAAGGTCCATTCTGAAAGCACTTCCACTTTTCAGGGCAGAGGAGCATCACCATTTATTTTGGAATTTGTGATGCTGTTTTAGTCTGTGATGTGTGGGCACAAAATATGTCTAGATGCAGCATCTGGAGACAAATTCCAAAGTCTAAGGCTTGTGTTGCTTTTTCTCTCCAAGAACCATTAACATGTAATTGTTGCTTCACTGCAAATCAATCATAATGAGAAAGGAACAATCTATCAATGGCAACCTCTACCCAAGAGTGATTTTAAAAGATGATTTCACTTAAGGAGTCAGTGTGTAACTACAGAAAAAAGGCCAGCTAACTCAGAAGAGGGGCACCCAGGCCACAAGGACACTGCAGCTCCAGGAAGCCAAACATAACCGAAAAATAAAATCAAGTTTCACACTTAGGTGCCAAACACTGGCCCCCAATTTTGAAATGCCTCTGCTCATCAAATAAGCTACTTTCCCCAGGTTTAACTCTTCTAATAGCACTTAACCCTTTGGTACTGCCAGCACTGGTGTGCTCCTGAACCACCAAGATGCATGCCAAAGAGCTGTCATTCATGCTGTCAAGGGACATGGGGCAGTAGTTTGAAAGGAGGGTAACACATACCATATTTTTTTTCAAAGAGTTCTTCAACTTGCTTTCTCAGGTCTGTAATTCGTGCATTCCATTTCTCTGCAAAGAAAAGGGGAGGACATGTCAGATTAGAAATGAAACTGGGATTTCTCTGGTAAAATCCATGTTACCACTAACTGAAACATGCAGCACACAGATGCCTGTGGAGTAGCAGCTGCACCTTAAACTACATGGATATACTCAGGAAGAAAAAGGATAGAATAAAACAAGATTAACACCAAAACTGGTAGAGGTGTTCCATCAAGCTTAAAAAAATTATAAACAAAGAAAAAATCATAAACCAGGCTAAAACTACTTCCAAAAATGGTTTCTCTGACTGCTTGGTCAGCAGCTCTGACTCCCATCAGGGGTAAAGTCAGTCTGCAGCTGCTGTTGATAGTTATCTTAATCTGGGCACTGAAAAGCCTCATTAGTGAAGCCTGATAAAGCTTACAGCGAGTAGATGAAGTTGTTTTGGTGCAAATCTGTACAATTATCTGGGTCAGAAGGCACTGTCTACCTTAATCCAGTATTTCTCCAAGTCCTGATGTTGCAAAACATCCTCACAAATCCTATTTCTGAAAGAAGATAAAGGCTGCAAAACAGAAGTTGTCCAAATCCAATCGTGTGTTCCATGGAGATCCGGATTAAATGGCAGAATTTTAACATCTCATTTTCTGCCTGTGACAGAAAGGACATGTTTTCACTGCTTTTTGTACCATCTCAGTGCCTTTAGGAAAATGTCACAACTCTTTTGTGGGCAGTACCAGATGCTGGCTGGCTTTTTAAGGATGAGTTAATAAGCAAGTGTACTTACAGCTTATTTCTTACACCTAAGACTTGAATCTAGTAACTACAGAGGCCAAAAAATGAGGCCATTCAAGCTATTACACTTCCAGTTGTCAAAAAATTCTTACATCAGACAAGACAGAGGATTGAATTTTGAGTCTGTATCAAATAGGGTTTAAACACTCATTCTCAGATAAATGTACACGATTTTGGTGGCATGTTTAAGCTTACATTTTTAAAATGTAATTTCATGGATATCAGTAGGACAGCATGCTTCAGATGAGGGCAAGAATGAGACCTTGTTTAGAGAAGAAAGGGTGTTTTTGGCATATGACCTCATACCCATGCAAACTCTCCATTCTACTTACCTGCATGCACCTTACACCAATTAACCTGTTTATATTTTGAAACAGCATCCCTGTGGATAAATCTGTATAATTGCTTCTGCCAGTCTTTTTACTGCTAACCTGTACTGCACAGCTTCTTAGCTGGTAAACATGTCCTGAGCTCAGTGTTTTCTGTTCCTGCATCACTTCAAACTTGTAATATTTCCCTCTTTCACTGCAGATGTTCAGTCAGATGAAGCTCTTTGATTCCAGCACAACCACTGACTCCATCTTTTCTTGAGCTACAGAACAATGGATTAACAGCAGCTTTATCAGTAAGAGTCAAGAAAATACCAGTGAGAACTTACTGTCCTGGAGGGGAAACCCTGCTTTACTCAAGAGAGATGGTGACCACAGATGGACAGTGCTTGTTAGCACATTCACAAGGGTGTTCCTACACAAACCACTAAGTTCACAAGGCTTTGTCTTTCTCAGTTACTAAACCTCACAATCACTGGCCAAATATTCCACGTGGATATTTCCAAGCAACTACTTCCATGCTGCTGGTCCCTCCAGTGGAAATACTACAGGGATTAATGATCAAACACAACACAATATAGGCATATTTATTTGGAATGCTGGATACACAGAATAGCCCATTGGAAAAAGAATATCATTAACTGCCTCACATTTTGATCAGAACACTGGATTTTTTTAATTTACTTTCATATTTTATGAGTAAAACACCTTGTTAGGCTATGTCAGAGATATTTCAAAATTCAGAGGGGTTATCAGGTAACTGGCAAGATTATAAATCAAGATTATCACCATATTATCCCCTTGGATTCACACCAGTTACAGTAAAAATCTTTCTTTTGTCACACACTTTGTGCTCACATAGCAAAGTTGAAGCCCTACCACAAAGCTAAGCTGATTGGGTGGTAATCACCCTGTTTGGTAATCACACCCTGCAGAGCACTTCAGGTTTCCCACAGGCACCAGGGTAAGTGTTGGTTTCCTTCTGTTCCTATATACAGACCTCCTGATACCTAAGAAACACCATCCCAGTTAAAGAACAATCCTAAAAAGCTTCCCCAGCCCATCCACAGTCTCATTCTCTGCTCCTTGGGGACAGGCTCCAGGAAACAGCCAGTACAGTAGAGACCAGCAACACCCCCCAAATGATGCTCAGGCACCAAAAGCACCTTCCTGTGCCCATCAACAGGCCCCAGAGTGTTCTGGGAGAAGATCAAATGGAAACCACACTGTAACTCTGAGGGTGCTGCAGGCTGGCAAAGCCTCTATGCAAAGGCCTGTCAAAATGGGGAAAAAACATACACCCTTTCCATCACTGTCATCCTGAGGCAACAGCTAAGGGGACCTTTTTTCCTCACTCAAATGGTATGACACAACTGCAAGACACAACTTGAAGCTTCTGAGCTTTTGACACAATCTCTAAGAAAGCGAAAAATGTGGGAAGAGATTTTTACTGACAGTGTCAGTTCCTTTCAGCAAAGAGATTTTTAACCTGAAATAGCTGGTTCAGAAGTATTTTTGAAATCCAGCCTCTCTTCTGTAAGGTTATCCACTTCTATCAAGCATTTTACCAGACACTTTTCACTCCTCTCCCTGGTTACCATTATTTTGTTTTCCACTTTGTCCTCCTGTTTCCATGAAAACTCAGAGCACAGCACATCATTCACCCTGTTTCTCAGCCACTTGGGGGGTACCTGATCCCTGACTCCAACAAGACATAAAGGAAGTGTCTCCAGCTCACAGCTGTCAAACATCTGGATCTCATCAGTGTTATGTAATATCCTGAAACTCCCTGTCAGATGAGGCAGGTTTCTCTCCTGAGCATCCACATCTCCTCACCACTCTTGAGTGCATGTGCCTTTGTCATTCTGCAGCTATTCATGAGAAAACTGAACACCTTCTGCCTCCTGCCCTGTTACCCAGTATTGGGCTTCACTAGACAAAGGTGCAAAGTCTTTTCAAATGTCTGAACCACAGCACTGCAACTACAAACAGTTGCTCTTTTTTCCATTACAACAAACAGTCTGTTTCTCCAAATCTTCCCACATTCATTCTGTGTTTTAAACAGACTATACACCACTTGGATGAACCCCAAAAGTGAACATGAGGGGCAATAACCTCAACACAATTTAGGAAGCCCAGGAATAAAGGTCTCTGAATGACCCATGAGCTGCAAAACACTGTGATCTAACTGCACAGCAAGTGGTTAAGAGCAAAGTTTCCTTGAGAACAGCCCAGAGAGATAACCTGGCAAGTCAACTGACAAGCAACAGAGAGCAGGTAAGCTATGGGATGTTCTTTAACTGGTTTCAACATTGCAAGCTCAGCTCAAACTTTTATCATCCTAATATTTTATTAATTTGGCTCTCCATGTCTGATCAGCCTCTTTATTCCCTCCAAACACTGCTGGCACACCAAGCCTACATGCTGTTTTCTGCTATGGGGAAATACTCTAGCAAGAGCTTCTGCAGCATTAACTGCTCAGTCTTCCCTTTTACTGATGTTGCTGTGATGTTCTCCTGACCCAACCAAAACCAGTGCTACAGGTAGAACTGTCTATTAGTATCTGAATGTCTATTAATTTTCAGTGAAATTAGGATGAAATGACACATTTCACTCAAAACAGATGTCTGAAACCCCAGCACTCCTAACACCCCAAATGCTGTCCCAAAGGACATATTCCTGATCCCACAAAACCTTACAGAAGTACATAGATTCATGGAATATCTGCCCAGGAAGCCAAATCAATAAAAAATAAATAAAGGAGATGTGTGAGGCAGCAACAAATGACATGGGAAGGATCTTTAACCAGAATAACTACAGTGTGTGGATGCTTTTCTGCAGTGAGAACTCTACAGAAGGTATCATGAAAGAACATTACCAAAGAGACCCCAGCTTTTTGTTTGTCCACAGGGATCAAGGCAGGCCACTTGGAATGACAGAGTCATTTGTCTACCTTCCAAATTGTAGCTCCCTTCAGCACACCTTCATTGTTCACAGCACATATCAAGAATGAGCAGGCAGGCTCCTGCACTCTGGTTTCTCATAATTCAGTACCTTGGCCAATTCAGTCTTATCTTCTTGTCCAAAGAATCAGCTGACAAAAAACTAAACTTGTTTTTATTTTGTTTAATTATTTGCAGTGCTTATTTAGAATGTCACATTGAATAATGAGAAACAACAGAGGTAGCCTGTGAGGATGATGATTATACCACTGCAATACACCTACAACAGAATACTTGCACTGATGTGTCTCACTCCTGCAGTCTGAAATTGTCTAATACCCATCTACAAAACAAAGCAGAGAGACAAAAGAAGCTTTAATGTTTATCTTACCAAAATTGAACTCTCTCACTTTTCTTCTCCCAGTATTGGCAGCTTCATTAGCTGACTCAGTGTTCTTCAGTCTCTTGTTAGGGGGCAAGTAGTCATCATCATCTTAAAGAAACATAAGAATGTCACTGGTAGTCCAGGTATTTCTCAGTGAGCTGCTACTTAGCCACTCACTTCCCAACCCAAAACACCATTTTCCCCTAGCAGTTAAAGAGTTTTTAAGACTGTCCAACCTAGCAACCCTAGAGAAAAGAAATGGTTAAAGCAGGCAAAGAGAATTAATTTCACATGCAGAACAGCATCTGCCCAGGTCACCAAGGGTATAGTTTACTTAGGAAGAATAACATCACATACTGACATCTCTTGCACCTATGCAGCTGGTATTATGTTCTGTTAAAAAAAACCTTTCCAGAGCACTTCTAGCTTTGTGGTGAAGACCTTTACATATACACAGAAATTAATGGCTGTTATCACCTTTTTCACTTGTGGATTATGAAAAGGTGAAAGCAATGCCAGAAGTGTCAGCTTTGTCCTAAAATGCATTGCCTAATTTCTAAATTGCTAGTTTGGTGGTCTTAATCTTAGTCCATTCCAGAAATCAGTATTGCAAAAGCCAACCTCAGAAGTGCTTTAAAGCAGTTAGAGGGCATACAACTCCCAAATGCAAGAAATACAGCTGACTTGCAACCAACATCCAGGCATGAAAACAGCATAGACATTGGCTCTAGTGCCATTCAGATGAGAAAGGAGAGTTTTAAGTATAAAGGCTTTTATCTCATATCTACCAATATTAGACAAATAAATTGAAGCTTCACTTACACCACCTGTTATGGTACAATTCATCCCATCAGCTAGTGTTAAGTAGAAATTTTATATAACTACAGTGTGCTTATAAAACATGTTCTTCAGAATGAATGCTGTAAAATCTTTTTTAAATTTACTTTAATGGCTATTAAATAATGAGTATTTTTCATTACCAATGCTTGAAAAACACCCGAAAGATGCAAAAACGTCACCCAACATTTCAAAACCAACCCAGTAAGTCCAATATGCTTCAGTATATTGTGGTTTCAATAAAACAACTCAACTAGATATGTTTACCAAGCAGTGCATGATGCAAACTGCAGTATAAAACATTTTTTGGAGACAAAAATGCCCAACAGACTGAAATCAAAGAACTGAAGAACTAACCTTCGATGGTGACCTCGACCTCAGGATCCTCACTTGTCTCTGTAGGGGTATGCTGGGAGGAATCTGAAAGGGGAAGAACAGGACTGCTGAATAAGGGACACAGAAAAGACTTTCAGCCCTACACTCACTGATTTTGTATTTAAACCAGCAGTTGTCAAAGCAGCCCCCTGGCTCACTGACATGTTCTGCACAGTGTGCAACAAAAACAGAACCCAGGATGTTTTACCATAAGCCTCTAAGAAACTCCAGATGAAGGTAAGGAGGTGGGGATTATACCTGCTAAACTGCATGTGCAGCAGTGCAGAGTTGGTGTTAGTGACAGGAAGAAATTCCTTAGTCTTGACTTAATAGGATTAATATAATCATAAATATTTTCCCCTTTGTTATTAAGGATTACTGAAAATATAAACAAAGGCTGTGTGCCTCTACAGGTGATGTATTTCTCTTCCACTTACACAGACTCATGGTTGTTGCACTCTAATGATTTCCACAACAGGCTGCAAGGTCAACAGTGAAAAATGAGAGGGGATATTTATAATCACAGTGCTTTTGCTGGGGTGGGTTGCACCAACATAATAAATTGGATTAAACCTATCAATACTTGGTGGGAGAAAGAGCAATTTTGCATTTAACTGCAGTAAGGTTTAAGAAAGTGAAGCTAATTATACTAGAAACTCTTTCAAAACTAAGGAGCAGTGTATGAAGGGATATATTTTAATTGTTCTGGCAGAGTAATGCTGAGCTTGTGCATTTTGAAGAGTATCTTCTCTCAGACCTCTGTAAGATTATAGTATGATTATCACTTCAGGAGCAAGTTTGAAGGAATCTCTGTTTCAAAGGCTCTTCACCACTTTGTGTCATTTATAGTAGAGATTCAGGAGTATCTACTGAGACACCTGAAGTGGAATATAGTCAAACTGCATCAAAACAATCATATGGTTCATGGAAAAGATTGTATGATGCTTTGATCTAATTCAGAGTCAGTGCTGGGTGGATAACTAGCAAATACAAAGCACAACAAAAGGACAG